AGGGGCTATCTCAATCCTTTAGCAGAAGATTAATGTTGCCTCTAAAAACACAGCTTTTATCCCCTCTGCATTTCTCTTCATTATTAATGAAACCAAAGTAAACATCTAATTTTAAACACACAGCAACTCTGATTAACAAAAACGAGCACAAAAGGTGATAGTAGGATGCGTATTTATGTAAAGGAGCATCAAGTTATTGAAGACACATATGACACTCACGGCAGAGGGTCTTTTCAGGTTAATCCGTTGTGGTTTTATGGTGATGTGTTATCTGTGCTCACATAAATATGGTCATTAGACTTATTGCTTCCCATGACAACAGCCTGATGGATGTATTGTCCAGTTTCTGTTAATAGCTGTCACTTAAATCAACAGTGATTAATTTGCTGAAAGTCAAAACCAATGAATAAATCTCAGCGTGTTTTTAATGTGCATTATAATATTGAATTCATGCAGCATATAGAATGTTAAAACCGGTGTAATAATACTGAACGTACAGGTATGTTTGCTGACAGCATCTTAAACAAATATGAAGCATTGCTAATCAGGATTAAACTATAATTCAGACACTATTGGCTTTGTCATGTTGCCAATTGTTTATTGTTGTTGAGTCAAAGTTGTACTGAATTCCCTTTGAAGCTTCATGTAAAGCCCTCCAACATTTCCTTAGTTGATGGTTTAAGATCTATTTACATGTTTAGTCAGTTTCCTTTTAGAATATATGTTTGATAATGTTCTTATACCACATAGTTTATAAAGCTAGCCTACTGCACTGTGGTTGGGTGAGTGGTGAAATTAACTGTCGAGCTCTATACAGTATTTACATTATTGTGTTTTAGGACAAGAGTTTAATTTTTAATGTTTATGTTAATGGTTAAGTTTCCAACTGTTATGTGATATATTTGATATTTTAATGTGCTTTGATTAGAACAATTTCACTTAGCTCCTTTTACTTACCATTTATTGTTGATTGTTTGACGTACAACTGGGAATTTCTACATTATTTATGTCGCAGATACCACACCTACATATTTGTACCCTATATTTTACTAATCAAAGTCTGTTCATGGGTCTTGGGGAGTACTACTGCGTATGTAAAAAAAAAAAAAGTTTAAAGCCTTTTCTGGTTCCAGACGGAGCCGCGAGAAATCTGATAAATTGCCTCAACTGATGTAATTTGAGTCAGCATTTGTTGGCTCTGAAGAGTCTGAAAGTGAAATAAATGTGGGGGTTAGAAAGAGGTGAAGTTACCCGACCTCTGTAGCTCTCTCTGCTCGAGGCTACCAGCTCAAGGCTACATTAGCTGCTACCAGAATAACACCCGAATCTCTGACCGATCAGCAGTCAATATGCATTGTGGGTAATGTAGGTGCCAGGTTTTGACAAAGAAAATGAACACAAAAAATATACAAAATATGGTATCTCTGGTTCTGGTTTGTCAGTTTTGACCCTGTTTAGACAGTGTGATAGGAGTAAACTAAACTGGTGGTTTATAAAGGTAAATAGTTGTCGCACACAGGTTTGTATGAAAAATAAAACACATTATAACAAAAAGTGTCTACAAACACAATGCTAATATATAGAATTAAAATGTTTCTGTATATCATAAATCTTATTTTTACAGCTTTCCTTTGTCAGAACTTATCCCATTGTGGACTTGTCAGAAAGTTCTCACAGAAGAACAAAAACAACCCTCCAGCTGTGTTTTCTTCCTTGTCATGATGTGAAGAGAAACTAAAATTAGACAGCTATGACACAAGAGTTTGTTCCTGCATCCTATTGGTTCAAAAAGTTAACATTTTACCGGATTTGATGTTGCCAAAGACAACACAAGTCAACAATACTTTCCAAGGATATTTTCTGTTCTTGCTTATGAGTTTTGTGAAAGTAACATAGACTTAGACTAGTTTCTTATTTTAGTTTCTACTTATTGAAACCGAATGTATGACTACCGATAACAAGTTAGACTAGTTATACTGACATGTTTTAAGCCATATTACAGAAAACATTAAATTAAATAGACTTCAGAACTTCTCATGTTTTTGGACCCTAATACGTCTTATACCAATAAAATTAAAGTGACTGAAAGAAGACCAAGAAGGAGACAGAAAATTAAAATGTTGTGCTTCCTGTCAACAGGAGACATGTAAAATGAAGTAAAGGCAGATTTTTTTTAAACCTTATAAACCCACGATGATGTCAAAAAGTAGGACAATGAGGCCCAGGTTGAAAATAACTGGAATTATCCATTAAGTTTGGTGACTACGCCCTCTGTGCTCTAGTTTTACTGAAAGACTTGAAAACAGTCACAGGAAGGAGTATATCAAGATGGAGTTCCTTTTTTAAGCCCCAGTCTTATTGTTGCACCTCAGAGCAGGAGAGAGGAGGAGACGCACTCTTTCCTTGCCTGACGCAAACAGGAGACACATAGACAGAGATGGACCTCGGGGTTCAAACGGTGAAATGTTTTTCTAATCTGTTACCGAAACACACCGACATTGTTCAATACTGTTACTGTACACACCCAATATATCATGGCTGTATATATGTCTGATCTGGATCTCCTATATCCCAACCCTTATCAGAGAGATCCACCTAGATAAAGGACAATTTATGGATTAGGTGTTGAACTCCTAATCGATAAACAAACACATTCATTTTGATTTGAAGATGAGAACAATCCATTTCATTGTAGTGCAGCAGGTAGAAAGACTCTGAAACACTGTAGTTGAAAGAGTTATATTAAGAAGAAATACTCAACACATTAAAGGCTGAGTCTGGAGATACTTCATATTTTTCTTATTACTAACAAATCAATAAGACCAAAGGCAACAATAAATTGATCCTAACAAAAGCAAAGCCTGATGTAGCTTATTCCTCTGTCAGTGAGCCATCATTATGATGAACATTGGCACTGTAGTTTATCTTGATTCAATCCCACGTACGCTATCCTGTAGCCATTAATACTCACTAGAACTCAATTGTCAGCTGAAAATAGTCCCCAACAAATTCACAATTTACTCCTGTTTTGTAAAGTATTTATGTGTGATATTTTACTTATTCAGTAAGAACAAATGGCTTTTAGTCTGAGAGCCGCAGACAGGCTGAGGAAGTTGTAAAGTATCAAAGGAGAACTCATTGTTTGTTCTGGTCTTTATATTGGATTTCATGATAATATCAACATCGACAACTTTATGGTTTAACCATTTGTATTTGTGTGTGTGTGTGTGTGTGTGTGTGTGTGTGTGTGTGTGTGTGATCATGTTTTCATATCAGCCACGTTTGTCATCATTCTCTCTTGCTGCAGAGCCCACCTTCCTCCCCTTTATTGACTTAATATGAAAACTATTGCACCAACAACAGGGTGGTCAAAGGTGTAGCCACATTGTGTTTTTTAATGAGCCAAACAACTACATTAGTATCTCAGATTTGTAAGAAGAAAAATGTATCAATACAGTAATACAAGTATTAGGGAGCCCATCATAGACAAAATATTTGCAATCATTTGTCAGTAGCTGTGATTTCCTGATGTAGCTGTGGATTGACTTTTGACCTTTAAGTGTGATGCACAAGACTATAAGGAGAGACTGTTGATCATTGTCTTGTACAGACTCATCGACATTGAAAGCCTTGTGCCTGGGAGAGCTTCAGTATTCCAGGAAGACTAAGTTGCTTCACTGTGCTGTTTGGTCAGGATTAACCTCTTTTAGAGCAATTTGTAAGGTTGTGTATGTAACACTGGGATTACATCTAATCACACTCATGTATTATGACCTGAAAAAGGCTAATTTCTAGTTGTGAAGTCAGTCCATTTACCAACAAAAACTGCACCAAATATTAAATGGATTCATGTGTTGCTGTGTGTTGGACTCACAACAATCAGGAACTGACTCCCTTTTTATCTTCCTACTGCCGTACTGACCCCCCTCAGAGCCACACCCCATTTTTATGCCTCTGATTGTTGCTACTGAATCTGTGATACACGGAACAGAATTTTTTTGTGTAATAAATCTTCACCAGCTGACCACAATTGAAGAGTAAAAATAGCTTCCCTTACTTCACCGCCTGTGAGTCACAGTTCAATTCACAGAGGGGTTAAATGTGAGCATAAGGATGTTAAGTTGGGCTGTGCAGGAAACAGGGAGAGCAGTTTCCTGTTATGTAGAAAAGGGAGCTGTTGTACACCAATTGGACAGTCAGATTGTGTGCAGGGAAAAAAGGCTGGTTTATCAATGGAGAGCTGATTTAAAATTACAAATCTTCTGTGAGACATGATCAGTGATATTGAGAAATATGGATTCATCATAATATCATCCAGAAGTAACTGGGATCTGAGAATGTATTCACCTAAACATAACATCAATCTAATCAATCTAAACTTCACAAAATGTACCAAAATACAGAAATGTGAATTTCATGAAGAGTAAAGCACCAATTATAAAGGGTTTGTAAGTTGTAACTAATGGTGTTGTTAACAGTTAATAAATAATATACTAATGCTTTATAGATCAGTTATAAACCATACATAAGAACAACTTTGGAGTTAAATACAGTAAAAATACAGTAATAAAATGTTGTTAATAATAATGATAATAATAATAATGATAATAAATGCTCATGAGCTTTTCACTTAATGAGCTATTGTATGTGCAAATATGAGTGTTAATAAGACATTAATCAATTATTTTTCAATCAATCAATTATCAATTAAATCTGCAGTTAGCACTCTTGACAACACTTTTCATAACCTGCCAAAAAGTAAACAAGTTATCTACCAGTAAAACGCTTTTAATACTGTTTTATTATAAATCTTTGCTATAATGTCTAAAATATGTGTTTATTATGGCAGATGTTGGCACATATTAAACTACCAATCCGCCTATACATTCTGTTGTAGGCTGATGTTAACATTTTCAGCACTTGCCAGGACCTGCTGCTGCTGTGAGAGGGATCCTGGAGGGTGGCGTGATGGTGAGCGCGGATCGAGATTTCTCTCCATTTGGTTTCCAGTCGCGTCCCTGCGCGCTGTAGGACGCACAGGCGATCAGCTGAGCAGCGTTTCCTTCTTAGAGGAAGATAGACGGAGCTGTGTTCAGTAAGACTCACTCACTCTCTGTTTGGACAGTTGAACTCGAGTTTGGCTCCTGTTTAAAATTATTGTGTAAAATTGTGCGTAACGAAGCTGCTTCCGTGGACGAGATGTTGGAGATATTCGCTTCGCCAAAATGAACACAGGTGAGATTATTTATTTTAAAGGACGAGGGTGGTTTTGAACTGCTGGTCTTCAAAGTCTTTATTTCAATGTGTGTGTTGGGTATTTAGTATATTTTGAGTATTTAAGCATAGAGCTGGGTGGAGATCAAATATATAGGATAAAGGATATTTGACTTTTTTGTACATTCCTGTGTATAGATGGTGAATCCAGCAGTAACAACAAGATGTGAAGCAAACCAAAGTGTGTTTAACGACATTGTTTCTTATGTGAGAACAGAGGGAAGTGTAATGTTTGCAGATTATTCACTTGTAATAGAATAAAGAGGTTTCAACGTAATTTAGCAATAATGGAGCTCATTTTGCAACATTTTGAAATCCTATGTCTTTTCTAATTTTGGGGGGTACATACTTTTTTTTAATGATATGGGGAGCCCTATTATTCATTTAACATGCATGTGTTGCTTTTTAGTCACTCTCCTGTGCTGCATATAATGTATTATTCTCAAAGCAGTGAAGGCAGCTTGAGAGGAGTTTCTATTGAATCACAGGAAGTGAGTCAGGGAAATCCCTTCCATTATTTTGTATTTTTCTCAAAGTAAAAGCAAACATTACTCATTTTAAGTCCTTTATTGTGTCCTTGTAGTATCACATTATTAGCTTTAGCTCTTTCTGTAAAGTATCTGGAACACTGACCTACAATTGATAGGTTGCCAGATTAGTTCTTATATCATATATATCATAAATATTGTAAACTCTTTGTAGAAAAATGAAAGAAAATGGTCAACTGCGCGACCACATTAGAATATCCAGAATCTTTGAGCAGTTTTAGGTCACAGGGACACAATACAAATGACCTGTAGGCTATTTTAAAGCACATAATCTTACAGTTTCCTTTTCCTGTTGTTCTTTCAGACTGCTCCAAGCCTTCTGTTGCTCCAAAGCCAAGATTTGTTTGTCACGCCAGCCTGAAACTGCCCTCCCCTCTCATGTCTGCAGCCAGGGGTCCCAAACCTTCGATAGCCCCAAAACCTAAAGTCACCCGAGAGCTTAATGGCACCCAGGGAGGGTGCTTTAATGGCAGCTTGCTAACTTCAGATGGCGAGGTTGATGAAGAGCATGAGACAGAGAACGGTCTAAACAAAGTGGTTGCAGAGTTGTTGCCAGCAGGGAAACAATTTAACGCCTACATTCTCAAATCACCACAAAAAGATGTTCAGACTGTGGCAGCGGACGGAGAGGTGACAGAGGAGGTAAAGGTAGAGGAAGAAGACATGGTAAAGAAGATGGACGAGGAGTGGAGATTAACTGACAGTGCTCTAACAGAGGAGGTGGACTCCGTTTGGGTCAGTGATGCTGGACTCAGGGCTGACTCTGAGGATGCGGTGGAGATGGTTGACACGGACACGACGGAGGACATGGACGCTGAAGGTTGTGATGCCGGCGAGGCGCTGGCTGATCCAGATGGCCTCTTAGTGGGAGACATTTCTGTTAATAGCATTGACGAGGAGGCCGGATGCTTTTCTGCTGAAAATCGACACATGAATGAGAGTGAGGAAAAGCTTCAAATCAAGCAGGATGAAACCGGTGACTGTACAGCTGATGATTTAACTGAGTCTCTCACAGACGAACCGGGTCTCCTCAGCAATGACACCGATACACAAGTTGTTCTAACAGATGGAGAGGAGAAAGACGAGGAATCTGCTCTGGATTGTGGCATCACGTGTAACATCCTGAAGTTTAGGTGTGGCCATAAAATGAAGGAAAAGGGCAAAAACCTGCAGAACATTAGTTTTTCTGACTTAATTTCCAAAGACCAGAAACAGATATGTGAGAGACATGTTGCCACAGAGGATGATCCAACTCCTGAACCTTATTATGTCTCCTCAGAGGATATTATTAACAAAGAGATAATGCCAAGGAATAACCCAGCTCAGGGTCTACCAGAGAGTCCACTCATTCCACAGAAACTTCTGTCCATAAACAGCAGCGGAGTATCAACCGGGATAAATGAGGAAACAGCAGAAAATGGACAATCCTCTGAAGATTACGTGGAGATTGGTAACAATGGGTACAGCAGCCACTACAGAGATGAAAACAAGGCAAGAACATACCAGAAAAGGACGACTGTCAAAACTGAAGAACTCAAAGCTCAGACAACGGAGGCCTTGTTGAATCATTTAGACTGCCAGCCAAGGTTCAGGCTGGTATCTATCTCAGTGCCAACAGACACTGACACCTCGCTGACATCTTCTCTCTCGGAGAGCCAGCTGCTCTCCCCGAATGACTCAGATGTCTTCAGAGACGAGGAAGACCTGGAGGGTCACATAGTGCCGTTTCTGGATGACACCACCGACACGGAGCAGGACATCAGCGATGAGCACGTCTATGAGGAGCCAGGCCACAGCTCGGAGGGTGAAAATGTTTTCCCTTTTGATAAGAGAACAACAGAGAGGCGTGCCCGCTCGCTGTCACACCGCATTAATAATAACGTGGCTGACATGGGAATGCAGTTTGTCCAGAGGCCCTACATGAGTGGATTCGGACAACCTGCATTGAGCAGCAGCCCCATGTTGAGCTCAATGCTGCACAAGACCCGTGCCAAACCCCACTATTTGTCCCTGTACCCCCGCTCTCTCTCTATGGAGGGACAGGACACCCCTCTGGGTGCCTACAGCTACAGGGAAGGATCCCCAAGACAGGGAGGTGCAATTTGTTCATCTGGAAGCTTCTCCCGGTGCTCACCTCTGTCGTCCAGTGGCCTGTCCACTCCGACCTCTGTAGTGGATATCCCTCCTCCGTTTGACCTGGCCTACATCACCAAGAGGCCCATCACGAAGAGTTCCCCCTCGCTTTTCATGGAAGGAGACTCGTCTGAGAAAAACAGGAAAAAGAAATCCTCCATTAAGCGTTTCCTGATGCTCAAATTTAGGCGAAAAACTGAGAGCAAGTCTGTGGTGGATGTCAACCCATCCTCCTTCAAGTCCTCAGCAGAGTCCAGCCACCACATGCCCAGCAGACTACTGGATCTAGATAGACACAGCCTAAGTAGCTCTCCACATCTCAACTTGCGCTCTGCTTTTAAACCTCATGTTTCACCTGAGCTGGCCTCAAAGTTCTTGCTCTACAATGACAGCAAAAGAAAAGGGAGCTCCATGGCCTTTCTAAATCGCAGCGTTGTCCGGGTGGAGTCCTTTGAGGACCGCTCCCGTGTGCCTTTCACACCTCTCCCCCTGACTAAGCCTCGCTCCATCTCCTTTCCCAATGCGAATACCTCAGACTACGAGAATGTTCCTGCAATCAGCTCGGATTACGAGAACCTTCAGGTCCCGCAGAGGAGACCTGTAAGACAAACGCCATTCACAGGGTTCTTTGACCGTCCCAGTCGGGCTCTGTCCTCAGCCAATGACACTGACGGTTATGTGGACATGAGCAGCCTCCCTGGGTTCAGGAGTAAAACTCAGACATCTGAACAGGAAACAGAGAGGTACGTAAACATGATTACAAGAGTCTACAGCCGTGCTTAAAATGAAAAAACATTCTGGTGTCGAGCAGTTATATGTTATGTTATGTTCACCATGCAACATTTGCTAATTAGCTCTACACACAAATTACAGCTGAGGCTGATGGGAATATCATTACTGAAACCAAAGTAGTGGACAAATTGACCAATTTGACCTGATAGTGCTATAGAAAGACTCTAGATATTACTAAAGTCGTAGTAGGTTTCATCCTCTTGGGACTGTGAATGTCTGTACACATTTTTATGATAATCCATCTCATAGATGTTGAGATATTTCCGTTTGGACCAAAGGAGCAGACCAACTGACTTTGTGTCCGTGTGCAAGTGAGTGTTCATGTAGATTGATGCTGCTGGACATAATATTAGTGATCTTTGCCATCTTTTACACTGAGCAAAAGTCTTTTTTTATTACTGCTCGGCCACTGTGAGGGTTTAACAATGCCCCTGGGGAGGAGGATTTATAACTATTTATTATGTTGAGTCCCCTGATGCTGCGATCACAGCAGACATGGATGTGAGGATCAGTGGTAGAGAGGTCAGTGCAGTCGCTTCTCTCTTGCTATACAGTGAGATGTACTAAGCTGTGATGTGTCTGTGTGTTGTTGGGGCATGTTGGGTGGTAGAGAAGGAAACGCTGGAGGTGGTAGTGGTGGTGGGGGTGGTCTCTTCAGATCTAAGTGAAAACTGGTTTCATTCACAAATCATTTTAGGTGTAAAAACAGGCTCTTGTTGATGCTGTAGGTAGAGCCTCTAGTCTCCCTGCTGTGGTGTTATTTGTTGGTATGATCAACCATGCTATGCTGACATTAACCCATCCCCCCTACATTCCTGTTGACTGTGCCCATATCATACAGGCCGCTCAGGATGATTAATAGTCAGAGCATTGTGGAGTCATTGCTCTTCTCTATCCAGTCAGGAACAACAGGCTGAGATACAATCTCAGTATGTTCTGTAGTCAGCAGTTGTTCACTGCAGTGGTTCCCTCTCATCATTGTGGTTAGAAAAACTGCACAACAAAGGCTCTAAAGTTAATTTTTATTAAATGGATAACAAACATTTGATTTGATATAAAAACTTGTTGTGTATTTCCTAAAGTACTCAATTGGATATAAGTATAATTACATACACATTCTTCATTGTATCCTCTTCTTCACTCTGCTGGTGCCTCCAGCCTGTGTCTCCTACTAGTCTTTGTCTCAGATGAGCAAGTTTGCACATGTAATTTGCTTTTTTGTTTGTACACATCAATTTAAATACTATACTATTCCAAAAGTGTGTGATTTTTTTTTACAATTTTGCTTAAGAAGTGTAAAATTGTATTTAAGGGATACTTTGATACAGTATAAAACACATGGCTAGACAAATGTCAGCCTGTGTTGATTTACTGGGTTCACAATGAGCTTAATTGTACTGGTAGTGTTCCTATTTCAGGATCTGGCAAAGGTATTTGTGTTTGTTTGACTGTGAGTGTGCTATGAAAGCATTAAATTAGATAATAGAGTGTGTAGAAAACCCAGGTGGGCTTAATTGAAGCTGAAGTTAGAATTTGACAGTTTTAGAAAATACAAAAAATGATATGACTCCATTAAAAGTGAGCAAAGAAATAAACAATCATTTGATTAGTAGAATATCCTGTAACAATTTTGATAACTGATTAAACATTTTGGACAGGTAAGACTTCAAAGTTTAAAAACATTTAATGCCTCATTTAGTTTTATTTAAAATCTTTTTTCATAGTCATGTTTTTCTACCATAAAATACTGAATTGCAAAAGTTAGACACCGAGACAGAGGTATGATTATCATTTTCAGACTTTGAACTTCTAGTGAACACAGTGGCCAGGACTAAAAGCAAAAGCAGCATCCGGATGGACAGCAGGCTCAATGGTTGAGGCCGTTAGTTTTACAGTAGCCTGAAGGGGTAATATTAGCACATCACAGTTTGGGGATTCTTGGCGTATTTGCCCCATTACTGCTATCACTGGAACAAATAGGCTCACCAGTGAACCTGAGGCAAAAAGAAAAATGATTATTTCTCATCTCCTCCTATAATTTATCTCCATAGATTTCGCCTTGAGCTGTCATACAAAGTAGCAAGACTGTGAAAAGTGACAGAGACAGTTTATGTTGGAGTGATATAAAGGCCTAATATAGAAACTGTGCATGTAGTTTGTGGTTCAAACACCCTCTGGTATCTCATCCAAAGTTTGATCCTGTGAGCAGTAATGGGTCGTGCAGCTCTAATGTGTGTGATGCAGAGATCTGAAACTGCTCACTATGTTGTTCATATGTAGCTAATTTGCATCTCAGTGGAGTTAAATCCACTGGTGCTCGGAGTGAAACATGGCAGGAACATCAGCAAGGCAAGTGGTCACATAGAGGAGTACTGCACCACTACTGTAACTAGTAGTGTTTTTATTTGCATAGCTTACACTTCCCACTGAGCTGCAGCCATTAGCATATTCATTTGGGCTTCCTGCTGAAGATCTCGTAGCATAAAACACCGACATGCGTCCCTGGTTGGGTAAAGTTGTCGCCACAGGCCTTTCAGGATCAGTTTATTGGTTCCTCTAGATCTGAAATGTTTTATCTATTCACATTGGCTTCTAATGCTGAAAATGTTTATTATAGTGATATTTCAATCTACGACCATAAAGGACCATAAAGATAGCTTAGATTGTTAAATTAAATTCATCTGAATTATTATCGAATGAATGAAGGTGTGAGGACTGAACACATTATAAAATCCCCCAAATTTAAATTTGTGGTAAAAACCATACAGTCTAAAATGCTTCTTTACCGACCACAAGACCAGTGGTTCACGAAGGGGCCAGAAGATAACTAATATAATAATGCTTAAAGGAATTAGAAAGAAGAACATATATCTTATCTGACATTTCTCTAATTATACCTTTTTTCTTGAGAAATACTCACATATGTAAAAGTCATGAAAAGGAGTAGTTAGCTTAGCTTAGCATAAAGACTGGAAACCAGGGGGCAACAGCTAGCCTGCGGTCCAAAGGTAACAAAAACTGCTTACCAGCACTATTAAGCCCACTACTTTCTGAAAATATGTATCACGTTTGTCTTAAGTTACTGGTCCCAGCCAAGCGGCAACCTCCGTGGCGGCCAACACGTAAGGAGCAAACACTGCAGAGAGAAAGTAAATAAAGGATTTCCTAAAACGTTGAATTACTCCTTTAAGATAAAATAAAAAATCTTAGGATTAAAGTCACGCTTTTTGAAGTGCACCAATCATGTCTGCACTAAGGCCATGACTTGTGATTAGATCAGGCTGACATTTCATCATCTATTGTAATGCAAGTAACTTCATTTGGCTGTGTTTATTTATTTATGTAATTTATTTATCACCATAATAACTCCTCTTTCTCACCAGTGCCTATACAGAAGCCTACAACGTGTGTTCGGTGGCTGTCGCTCCACAGACTGTTTCAGTGGGTGATGCTGGGGGAGAGACAGCGGGTGAGGATGACCAAGGACGCACCTCTGAGGAGGAAGAGGGAGGTGCAGACAATTATGATAGACAGGTTAGTTCTGACAAATGTCTGATGAGTCTAAAACATGGAAATATTTATATGTGTTTTGGAATTTAAAAATATATTAGCATTAGTTAATTAATTAATTAATGTCTTTTTCCCCCTAATTTCCTCTGCAACTATTTAAGTGATTTGTTTTGTTTTGTGCCACAATCTTGTCAGGGCACATGTCACCTTTTTGCAAATGGTAGGCAGAAATAACAACATATGTGAAGAACAGAACAGAACAAAATAAAGTGAACTGTTTTTCACCTTGGGCAATTGCAAAATTGCCCTCACAAGCCAGGATTTTAATGCGGGTTAATGGGGGTTAATGGGCTACTACACGGCTGTCCTCATTATTTAGAATTTGATTGCAGCTTGGAGACACTGTGGAGAGGGAGAGGAGGCAGCTATTTTTGTTGAACTGCAGCCAAAATGCTTTAGCTCTTCCTAACCCTGGGCTTATTAAGTAAATAATATGATTGTTTACAGCCTGATGGCCGATCCAGAGCCTTTTACATCGCGAAAGAGCTGGTGGATACAGAGAGATTGTGAGTTACATGTAAACTAAATCAAACATCTCCGCTCATCCATCAAAACTAATAAAGTTACCTCCACTTTCCTGTTTAATTGTGTATTTATTTCTCTGTTCACAGACATGTGAAAGCCCTCAAGCTCCTGCAGGAAGTAAGTGATTTGTTTCTATTCCCTTTCAATTTATGATTGGAATATAATTCTCATGTACATAGTTAGATATTCTCAGTGGGAGGGAATTACAGTAGTTTCTACATTTGGCTCTCTGAGCTCTGCAGAATTGAAGTTGCATATTAAAGAAAGGAAGTTCATGTTCCTTTGCTCTGGTTTACATTTTATCTCTTAAATCCCCTCAGATGTAATGCACATTTTTGTCAGCTTCCTGTCTTGAGCAGTCTTGTTCTGTCAAAAAGATGCACACTGTATTTAATTTAATTCCATTTGTATAAATTAAGTTTTATTAAATTCTATTTATGTTGTGTGTCTGCTCTTGATTTAACCAAAGTAAATTCACTGAGTACAAACCTTCCAAGAACATCTGCTCCACACTCATTGACAGTTGCTGCACACTACAGACTGATGGTCTGATCTGTTGGCAGCTCCACTAGAGAAGTTTTTGTGACTTGCTCTATAGAGCACCTCAGCAGTGATAAAGAGGGAAGAACAAGTGCTGCCCTCGCACTTCCTTTCCCAGATGTACCCTCTGGTGTGGGAATACCCCAGTGTTCTTATCAATGATTAGATTGCTTGATATAATAGCTCATGTCCTCCCTGCTATCATGTTACACGATTGCAGAAGAAGAAGATACGGTAAAAACGATAGGAAGGCAGGCTTTAGTGAATTGTGAGTTTAGTGAGAATTTAACCATGCCTTCGTACTCGCCTGTGTGCCAGGACTTTCGGGAAGCGGTGGGGGCAGCAGTCGGGGACGAGGGGGAACTTGTGTTGGATGAAGAGAGGCTTCGAGAGATTCTTAATGAGCTGCCTGATATTTACACCCTGCACCGCAGAATCCTCAACGAGCTGGAGAATCGAATCCGACACTGGTGAGACGAGTACATCGTGTGGTGCACATAGCTTCCGCAGTGGGCCCTCCTCTTCCAAAGAGTGCACACATTAATGCAGCTCAGAAAGCATTACCTGAGGACTGGTGCGTGCTGCTTTTCTCTTTCATCCTCTCACTTCTGTTTCTCAGGGAGGAGAGCCAGAGGATTGCAGACATCTTCCTGTCCAGAAAAGCCGAGTTCTTGGTTTTTACCACTTACATCGGCCACTACGACCGCAGTATGAGCCTGCTGGAGGACAGCTGCCGAACTTCACCTGCCTTTGCAGCCATTGTTCACCAGTTTGAGGTCAGACCTACAGTTCTTCTCTAACTCAACACAAAACAGGCTATGCAACACATCATTTCAAGCCCGTAAACAAACTCCCCATGCACTGCCAACAACAGTCAGGTACTGGTATGTTGCAGGACCATGTAGTAAAAAAATCTGAATTAACCACCAAACACTTGAATGACTTTACTGCTGTAGAAGAGGAAGAGAGACAACGGTTAATTCATATTTTTTTTTTACATAATTGACAACACTTTAAACCTTCTCAGAAGTCTAATTGGAAATCAAAATGATATATATCATGAGAAAGGACACAAATATGATAAATATCTTCACTAACCACTGGGCCAAGTTCATACTTATGTATATACAGTATTATTTTATTTATTTTTTTGTCATGTAATTAAGCTATTCTGGTATACAAACAATAGCAAAACATACATAAAGTGTGTTTTGTTCACGTGACACGTGATATTCTAATTGGCTCTTCAGTGAAGAAAGCCTGTATTCTCTTAATACTCCTCTTCCTTTTTGCATGTGGGATTCAAATGTTTTACTCACTGCTTGATGTGTGTAAATACTAACAGAACTACTGGGAACATGTGGATGTACAGTATGGTTGAGGTGGTGAAACATTGCAGAGGTTTTAAGCATTAAAGTAACAGTGAAACTTTGGTTTCAATCTCACATATTTGATGGTTATCAAGAGCCTCAATTATCTCTGCACCTTATCTCTTGTCAGCAGAGTTCAGTGTGTGTCTCTATGTGCAATGACAAAGATGGAGCGCTTGTTTTGTGGTAAGAGAGATGGTAATAGCTGAGTGTGTGGTATCAGCCTGTGTCTGTGTGAGAGAGAAGAGAGCCCTTGTGACTAGAAGCAAAAGATACAAACCCCTAAAAGGCGGACAGCTAAGTGAATAAAGGTAGTCATTTAATTTGAAACAACTACACAGTGTTCATGGCAGTTAAAAAAAGCTGTCATGACACCCAAAGGAAAAATATAGACCGTATGTTTAGATGTTAAAAACAAATACGTTTGAAATGAGCCACTCAGGACAACAATTAAACACTAAACTTCTCTTTAAAAACAGGAGGATCTTAAAATGTATCTAGGTTGCATTCCCAACAGCTTCTTTGAGCTCCACAACATATCCAATAACAATGCACTTTAGTCAGGACTTATACTTAGCCTTAATTCAATGAACAGACACAAGACAACGTTTTTCAAACCTGTCAGCCAGAGAAGCTATTAAGTTGATTAGTTTGGAATATAAAACATATTGTATAAAAGAACAGGACACGATAGTATGCTTGACAGTTCAACAGGGACATTGCAGCATCTCCTCACAATCGACTTTTTAATTCAGTTTTCAATATTTTCCATTCAGTTTATAGACCACGGAGGAGAGGACTTGGCAGAAAGTCTTTGCAGAGCTGGGCAGTTTTCTCTGTCTGAATTAAGAGCATAAAAGTCCTGAGATTCTCCTAAGCACTTTGTGTATTAATGTCAGCACAGTAAGTTCTTTTCTGTTTCATTGATTATCAGTTTATAATTTTCAGTTTTTAAATGGGAAATGCTGACAGAAGGCTTTTTAGGCTTCGAAATGAATCAATCAAAAAATATAAATATTATTATCACTTTGAAAGTGTCTGTGCATGTGGGTGGTGTGTGTGTGTGTGTGTGTGTGTGTGTGTGTGTGTGTGTGTGTGTGTGTGTGTGTGTGTGTGTGGAGAGAGATTCATTATTAATAAAATGATTATTGGGAATGAGGGTGTTGATACATAGGGGCATGCAGCATTGCTGTGTTTGCACACGCACACAAACACACACGTTTATCCTGCCAGGCTCTGTGCTGACCAGCAGTCTGTGTTATTGGCCCCTTTTTCACACTTAAAATATGAGGTGGTGGTTCTACTCAAAGCTCCAGTATTGTTTTGAATTTTCTTCTCAGGACAACTTTCATTGTATTTTAAAGTTTTTTACACATTCAATTAGATACCTTGACTGAAAATTAATCTGACGTGTTGTTTGGCCAAAGTTCATGTGGATGTTGACAGTGAGTGCTGCCAGCAGATCTTTCTATTAACTGCTTTATAATGTGCCACAATAATGTAATGTTTTTGAGTTGAAATATTTCCAAGCAAATATTGATGTATGTGATTATGTCACCTTAAAGTCTCCATGGGACCCACTTTCCATCCCATGTATATTTCTCTAGATCCACCACATTGCTAATGAGCAGCAACAACACAGTGTAAATGTTGACTTTGTTTTGTCTCAGCAGGAAAGTCCTGCTGGGGAGAAAGTGTCTCTGAAACATCAGCTCCTGCAGGTCATTGTGCGCGTAGCTCAGTACCGCATGCTCCTCACTGGTGAGTCTCGAGTCTTATCTTTTCTAAATGAAAAATATATTTCACTTATATCGTTTGCATTCATTTTCTCTCACTCCTCTCACAGATTACCTGAATAACCTCTCCCCTGATTCCAAGGAATATGAAGACACCCAAGGTACCATAAACAAAGAGCAGACCCAGTGTGGACAGAGGCTGCTCACTCTGTTACGCACAGGAGAGCCCTACTGGCTGGTGTTTGTGGCTCTGTGTTTACACAAAATTTATTTGTGCTCACTCGGCATGGAGAGATGGCCACGTGAGAGCCAATTTAGATCTTTTTTGTTTGTGGTGGTAACCCACTAGGCAGTCATTTCAGCCCTTTCTGTGTGAAGACTGTAATGTGTAATTCATGAGAAGGCCAGTTGCAACAACACTATCTCTTATCTGCGATAAGGGAGCCACCCCATTCCAGGCTTGTAGACACGTCCGGGCTCCTGAGTCATTTTGAGCTTTATGTTTGGTGATTTTCTACATAGAGTAAAAGAACAAAGACAAATCTCACCTGTTTTGAATATTCACTGTGATTGTCTGCACTTCTTAACATGAAGTGTCTTTCCTGAATCCTTTCTTTCTGTGTTTGTCTTATGCAGCCGCTGTGGCAGTTGTGTCTGACATTGCAGATCAAGCAAATGACAGCATAAAACATGGGGTAAGTGCCATGTGTGGGCATATGTAACTCATCTGTAAACAAACATTTGCATCCAGAATTATATATCTTATTTCAACCTAAACTTTGTAACACAAAATAAAACACATAGCTACAATAAAGAATCCCTTTGATTAGTTCTTCCAACAATATTTTCTTGTGTTAAAAGTCTCTGGTTTGGGAAAGAGTCTCATTTTGTAAATGTATGAACACTTTAACCCTTATAACTTTAAGATCTTCCCTGCCCAGTCATCCACCAAAAGTCTAGGTCCTGAACATATTAATTTAACTGCTTCCTGAGTAAATGTAGCATCACTTTTCACAGTCCAGATTTGACTGAATGCATACAGAGGAAGAAATATGAGATGCATGTTCACCCCAACAAATTATCAAAATTATCTCCTATTTCTAATGTTAGGATATAAATATATATCATACTCTTTGCTTAAGGTTGAATCTTTCACACTTCTAATGCACAGAGCAGTGGTTCCCAACCTTTCAAGTTTGTGGCTCCTTCAAACAAAGCAGTGTCTGTTTTCCATCAATCTTCAAATAGAGCAAAACATAGAGCAAAATCTGAAAAAATAAGCATCACTTTGTGTAGCAGAAATATGTCTCTTTCTTCTTTCTTTTTATGTTAATCATCTGACGACCCCTCAAATTATCAAAATATTTGTGATAGGCCCGGCCCCTAGGTTGGGAACCACCATCATGTGGTTCATACATTTACAGTTAGATCAGATTTTATTTATATAGCCCAGAATCACAAATCACAGTGGGGGCTTTACAATCTGTACAACATTCAACACCCTCTGTCCTTAGACCCTTGATTCGGGTAAGAAAATCTCCCCTAAAAAACTTTTAACAGGGAAAAATTGGAAGAAACTTTAGGAAAAGCCACAGTGGAGGGATTCCACTCCCAGATTGGACAGACATGCAATATAAGTCGGTGTAAAGAACAGACAACATAATCATATTAAATACAGAGTCTGATGATAAAATACCAACATATGTAGATTGTAAAACATACAGCACACTGACTTGTTTATCCTTTTAAGGAATGATATCAGAGGTGGTTAAAAAAGTTTTGGATGCATGCAAAAAGACACAAAAGTTTATATCACACACACTCAGTCTCAGAAAACTATTGGATGGGTTGCCATGAAATTTTGACAGTAATGGTCCCCAGAGGATGCATCTTAATGACTCTGGTGATCCCCTGACTTTTCCACTAGTGTCAAATTTGTTGTTTTTGATTGAAATGGCCCAATAACTATTAGATGTATTACCATAAAATTTGGTGCAGTGCATTATATGAGTGTGTTAGAATTCAAACATTGGCAAATTAGCACTGCACCAAATTTTATGGTTTGGGTTTTGACTGTACCAGCTTAACATTAGCATGTTAACATTGCCATTGTAAGCATGTGAGAATGCTGATGTAGCATTTAGCTCAAAGCACTGGTGTACCTAAGAACAGCCTCAAAGAGCAACTGGTGGCTACTAGTGCACTAGTTAGAGTAACATGCCAAATGATGATATTTCTGAAGTCTGGCTTTCTAAAAAGAACAATATATGACATACCTACCTGATCCAGCTGATAACTCTTTCATCGTTTCTCTTATTTTGGCGTCTCATTTTCTCGTCTTGTCTGTCTGTTCTTATCTTTCTTTGTGTCTCAGGAGAACTTGTTGCGTCTGGTCAACATAGAGTACAGCGTTCGTGGCCAACGGGACCTGCTGCAGCCTGGCAGGGTATGACTCTGATAACAGCATTGTTTTTGTCTGTTGATTGCCAGCCCACCCTGTCTGCCCTGCACCACCCCTGTGTTGCCCTTTACACAATCATTCAGCTGGGAATCCCCAGCCAGCCCGCTTTTAAAAACAACACTAATTACTGCAGATGCCCTCTACTGTATGTGTCATGACTTGTGAAGTGTTCAGTTTTTGTACATATGCTTTCTCTATCAGGTCTTTGTGAAAGAGGGCACCCTGATGAAGGTCAGCAGGAAGAGTCGACAGCCCCGCCATCTGTTTTTGGTAAACACTGCTTCGTGTTAGTAGTGTATAAGTTAGATAGACACATGCCAGAGGTCATAATGTGTACATTATTAATAAACATCATGTAACTACAGTTAGTTTTTAAGACATCTGTGTGTAAACTGGAGAGTGAGGCATTTTCTGTCTGGTCTGTTTCTAAAAGTCCAGACTGAGCTATTAAGAGCAGGGTTTCCTGCCAGGATGTTTCTGAATGCTGACTTCCTGAGCCAGTTCTTTATGGACAGCACAGGGAAGGTCAACAGCAGCTCCTTATGAACAGAATGATCCATGTACACCTGTGAACTTTTATAACTTTAATTCTGTGAGCTAAATATTAGTCATATCTGTCTTCAGCACCTTCAATATATGGCTACTAGCTGACTATGATAATGCTAAAGGGAACAGGGAGAAGGATGTTGAGGTAGGGCAGGAAGATCTAATTGATAAAGTCGTATGTTTAAACTATCATATCATCATATCAGATCAACACAACATAATTTATTCCATGGACGAGACAGAAACGACAGACTGTACTAGATATTCAATTTATAAAAATCATAAAATAGAGATAGCCTTGAAATAATCAAGAGAGTTTAGAAAACTGAACGCCCTCACAAATTGTCTATAGAGCATCATCAGAGCATGCTGCTTTTCCCTCCTGTGGTGTTGAAATTTGTGGTCTGGGCTCGATACTAAAAAAGCTCATAAATGTCTCTTCTGGAGGAATGTTGGTAATCATCGCTGCATAACGTTCTACCCTGCCAGTTTATTCAGCCAGACGTTGATCACATGTTATCAGCTATTATTAATGTTGGACATGGCACAATAAGACAAGTCTGCAGGAGCTGCCGGTCTCATAACAAAACTACTAAAACACACAGGGACAGTGAGTAAAACAATTTCACTGGAAAAAATGATACAGAGGTTAATGATCCAGTTTGATATCATCTTTGATATCTATTTAGTGAAGTATCCCACAGACACATTTTAAGACACACAAATACTCTGCTTGCATTAATAATTTGGTATCAGATATGTTTTTTTATTTTAAAAAAAAGGTTGGTTGCCTAGTTTGAAATTCTTAAAATTACATCCACTGCTTCTCTCCCGTTTAAAATCTAGAATTGATAAATATGATCAACTTTTCACTACTACTACTAGACACCAAATATCTCCAACATCACTGAAAAGTGTGCGTGTCAAGTCAACTTTTGTATTAGCTTAGAGTGCCACCTACTGGAGAACTGCTGCACATACATGAATATTGAAATCTGGGCAGCTGACTATTTGGACTATTTTCCGTTTTGTTATATGTCCTCTAATGTGCATTTACTGGTCTTTACTGTGAATATTGATTGTCATCTCCTTCTATTGTTAGATGAATGATGTGCTGCTGTACACCTACCCTCAGCAGGATGGGAAATACAGGTTGAAGAATACTCTGCCACTCACTGGGTTAAAGGTCAGAGTCTTTCATTAAGTCGCCCAATGTTGTAATTGCTTTCATTTCTGACCATGTTTTCCCTTTGAAATCATGCACGAGTTTTTATGCAAGGCAAGCTGAAAGTATTTCTTCCAACACATACAAACTACAGCCATGAATGTATTTATTTCTCTCTCTGTATTGCTGGTCTTTGATTTGTAATTTTATTGATTTCCCAGGTTAGTAAACCCATCATAGAAAATGTCCAAAATGCACTGAGGATAGAAGGAACAGATATCTCCATCACTTTGTCTGCAAGGTGGGTCACACTGTGTGTACTGCTGGAATAATGGATATTATCTGAGGTTAAAACCTCTAAAATGGGTAAAATGTTAATACTGCAGCCAATGTTTTGTAAATTTCAAGTTAATTATTTTTGTGTGTATTTTTTGCAGTTCCTTCATTGAAAGAGAGGACTGGTTTTACACTCTAAGCCGCACTGTGACTGAACATGCCCGGGGATCTGTTGCATTTAACAGCTGCTCAGGAGAGGTGATCAAATTGTGCTTCTCATATCCATCTATTAAAGTTGGGGTCACTCATTATGGAGAAAGTTGAGTCTCATTCCCAGGTCGTCAAAACCAATGTTAAATGGAAAGCAAACAAAGTAGCTCAGAGTAAGCCTCTTTGTTTGCTGCGAAAGCGTCATTGTTTGACAACCCAGGAATGAGATTCAACAATCAACTGTCTTTCTCCAGAATGACTGACCCCACCTTTAAGGCATAACTTAACAAGGTTTTTCTTTCGATAGGTTATTGATATTATAGTTATTTTTCTGTTTCTGTGTGTTTGTTGCAGCCCAGAGATCGTCTGCGGCTGTCTCTAGGGGAGAAAGCTCCCACACTTGTTCCAGTCTCACAAGTGATGATGTGCATGAACTGCACCTCAGATTTCAGCCTCACTCTTCGCAGACACCACTGCCATGGCTGCGGAAGAGTGAGTCACACATGAACAAAACAAAGTGCTCTATAATTCTTCAGTATCGGTTAGACGGCATACAACAAATTGTACCTTTGACTAGAGCATTTTGGGTGCTGAATGTACTGTTTCCTAGGCTTTTTATTGTGTATGTAATGTAATCTGTGGTGAATTTATGTTGTTTGACACAGATTGTTTGTCGGAGCTGCTCCAGGAACAGATATCCACTGAAATACATGAAAGACCGCATGGCCAAAGTGTGTGATCACTGTTACAGCGAGCTAAAGAAGAGAGGTGGGAAAACTCTGCTTGAATACATTTTTAGGACTCAACTACAATTTAACAGTCAATCTGCCTCTCAGCCTACAACTTTTAATATTGCTATTCTTCTTGTTACCAGTAGTAGCAATGTGTTAACCCTTGACCAGTCAACTGCATTACTAATTGTTATCAGAGGGAGACGCAGCATCAGGCAGAAACATTTGTATTTTACAGGAAATAAATGCATAAAATAAAAAGTAATACATTTGGAAAAACAGAAATAAGAGAAAAAAAGTCATGGGCTACTATTAGTACTACTACTACTGAGTATCATGTAGAACATGACCAAACCAAAATATGCATGGCTGAATTCAATATGTTGCACACTTCACACCATTTTGTGTAATATGCTGGTAAAATACAAAAACACTGCAGAGTGCAAAGCTGAAGCTTCATTTGTAAAGGAAAGCCTTTCCTTTATTTTTTCTTACTTAAAACATTATTTCCTATAATATATTTAACACACACACACACACACACACACACACACACACACGTACACTGTGTATATATATGTATATGTATACTGTGTGCTTTTTTTTCATATATATATATATATATATATAAAAGCCACCATATTGGAAGTTCTTCAATTCAGATTCAGAACTGCATAGTTCCACTCATGCATACCCGAGCTATGATTTCACCAAAAAAGAATATAGTGTCTTGTTATAGCCTGTCCTTTGCTGTGGTTAATTGTATATTTCTGCAGGGGGAGACGTGTCTGCACTGTCAGGTAAAAGCAGCCCTCGTCCAAACCGCTCCAGTCGCCCTCTCTCAGCTGTGTTCCAAAATATTCATCCTCCCAACATCTGGAGACATCGGAAAGGCACAGCCTCCTTCACCCAGGTACACCTGCAACATGTGCTTTCCTCTCTTTGCAGAGAGGGCCATGTTCACTGCACAGTGCAGATTACTGATGGTGTGGATGACAGATATGCCATGTTTTGTAAGGAACATTGCAAGTTATTGGTCCGTTCCTGCTCCTATGCTGTGCAGGTGACCCTGTCAGAGGAAGGCTCCATTAGTGGCAGTCTACAGCGCAGCAAGAAGAGCAAGAGGAGCTGGAAGAGACTTTGGTTCCTCCTAAAAGACAAGGTGCTTTACACCTACCGAGCCCAAGAGGTGAGGGGAAACATGCACTCCCCTTTAACCTGAACAGCACACATTCACTTGTTGTCTAAAAGTAACTAAAATTGTTGAAATGCCCAAAGTTACATTGCTGTATCTCATAACCCATTTCTGTCTGCAGGAGAAAGTGGCATCAGAGAGTTTACCTCTGCTGGGTTTCACAGTGAAGCTACCAGACAAGCAGGAAGGGGAGGAGGAAGAGGCCAGCATCTTCCAGCTTTACCACAAAAACACTTTGTACTATACCTTTAAAGCTGTGGACAACTACACAGCCCAGAGGTGAGAAGCACTTGATAGCTAATTTCAAACTGTTAGTTGGATGCTGTTGGAGGCTAAAAGAGACTCACTATAAGCTAATGGCCGAATGACTCACAGGGTTGCTACTGATATGTTGTTGCTATCAGGGACAAAACTAAGAAAAACCGTCGAGATTATAACTTTTACATTGCTCAGTGGGTACCAAGGCGTCTTATGGGCCTAAGACTGGATCCACAGACGCCCATGTCATACTTGTCTGATCACATGGTTTGAAGTGGAAACATGAGCATCGCCAAATTTGGAATTTCAGTGTTTAAGCAGAAATAGCAGAAATATGTGGACTGAGTTTACAGAAGAGTAAAAGTTAGTAAAACTTGCTCCTCCAGGACAAAATACTGTAATCTTTCAAATTCAAGTGAAATAAAATTGGCTCAGTTACTAATGTGGTTATATGTCATGTTGACAGTCGTGAAGCAGATTGAAATTATTCTTTTAGCACAACTGCAGTTCATGCTGTTTCTGTCCTAATGTAAAATTCTCTTCTCATATAGGTGGGTAAATGCCATGGAGGAAGCCACAGTTTTATAGGATCAGCTACTCTGGGAGGGTTTGCCAAAAATAGAAGTCTGCTGCCTTTCCTCTGCCCCAAAAGAACTGTGAAACCAAGAACAGAAGATTGGGAATAAAACACAATTTTTGATTATGTCTGCAAGTTGTCTAAAAAAGAAGACATCGTGTTCTTTGAGAGGGGACACGATTACCTACTTTGTCAACCTCCAGTGTCCCCTGCCTGCTGTTACAGCAGGTGTGATGCTGAGAGCCACGAGAGGCGTTGGCCCAGATACCTGCCAGTGTGGAACATTACATCGATGCGACCTGTATTTCTCCCAGGAGCTGATCAGCGACATTCCTCTGGAAGATAAATATATTCTATGATTTTTTCAACATATCAAATATTTCAAAACAACATAAAAAAGTATTTCAATAACTCTTTAACACTTTAAACCAGTCATTTTACTGTTGCTAACATGGAGGCTGAAAAAATAGTAACAAATTTCAACCTCAAATGTGGAATAGCCTGATCTTCAGTTACAAAATGTGTTAGTTACGCCTTCATTTGAACATGTGTTCTTCCACTGGATTTAATGCATCTCTATGACTAATACTTTGAAGCACAGGCTGTATCAAAGAATGAGTAATTTTATATGTATAGAAGTGTCTGTAGCTTTGCCATGTACTGTATTGTTTGAGATGGTCCTGCAAGTGAATAAATAGTTTCTATGCCTTTTTGCACTGATATAAAAAGGAATGAACCTGATATAGAGATATTAGTGTATCTTCATCATAAAGGCCAAAAGCTACTGAACATTACTTACTCCATTTACTTCACTTTTTTATTGAGAAAAATGTTGCCAATTACATCTTTACTGTTTTAAATAGGCCTAACTAAAGCAAGTATAGTGTAAATTCTTATTTGTATAAAGACTACACATCCAGTTGAGCCATGAAGCACTGACTTTGCTGATCTACATAATCAGTGTTTTGGACATTGTACTGTACTTGATGATTTAAGTTTAAATGTCTAACACTAATATTTTAAAATCAAGTAAAGGAGGCTGTAATGATGGAAACAGTCTGTGTGTGTGTGTGTGTGTGTGTGTGTGTGTGTGTGTGTGTGTGTGTGTGTGTGTGTGTGTTCTCTTCATCCTCTTCCTGGCCCCTAGGTTGCAAGTGGGCTAAACATGAAAGTACAACAGGCCGTCATTGACTTCCTGTCACTGTGTCCTTGCTGGTGGAGTTCAGTAAATTCATAAAAAATGGAAACGTTACACTTGTAGTGCCCCTTATATGAGCCTATCTTGTCTGTGTTGACATGTAGTACATGTGTGGCCTGTTCTCATCAAACACCAAGCTGGCAAGTGTTTGAGATCACACTTAGAGCTGCTTGGGAAGACACTGGGGGACTGAGTGACACACACACAGACCAGTGTGCTGTGTGGCCAAAGAAAGGCCAGGCCTGCTCTGCTTCTCATCTCCCCCTGGGGCTTCCTGACCCAGAATAATACCAGGCAGAAAGTTTGCTTTCTGGGGCTCCTGAAAAGTTGCAGACACCTCGTCCTATATAGAGGACAGATCATTCATCACTCTGCTCTCCCTCTTAGCCCCAGTTCTGTTTTCTCCCTCCTCTGTCACTTCACTCTTCTCATCTCATCTTTTTAGTGTTTTCTTTCCTTTGTTTCTATCGGTTATGACACAATACTTACAGGTTTTTTTAAGTATTTATCTTCCCACACTTCCTGCACCTGTTCCTTCTCCCCAAATCCTTCAGCTGGAATAACTTTTCTTAATTGGCTGTGGAGAACAATGTGCAAAACAAGGTGCAGACACTCACTTAAATAAGTTAAACCTAAATGCAGAAGTGTTTTCTGCTCTCAGCTTCTATATGTAAAACAGAGCTTTGTATTTTACCATACTTCTGCTTTAGATATTTCTGGTTACAACAAAGCAGCAAGAAACAAGACATTGTTGACTGAAACTGAAGACTAAACAAGACAAAAACGGCAATGCACTGTGTGATTCTCTACGTGTTGATTTCTGTAATAAAAGACAAGTGATGAACGCTAGCTGTGGGGCTGATGGTGGAAAAGATAGGCTTTTTCTTTAGAGTGGGACAGCAACAGTGTCATAATCCAAGCTTACTTTCATATCGCTGCAGGCAGGAGCAATGCAGAGAGAAGCAAATAATCAATCATCCACACACAGCCTACTCAATATGGTCGGGTACATTCAGCTCTGTTATATGTGCTCAGCCTCAGGAATCATTAACAACGGGTGCCAAAAAAGCTGCAATATGTTTCTCCCTCATTTATGGCATATTTCTTTTAATCCCTGACAGCAGAATTGTGCGTGTACTTGGCTGTTTTTAATGACAAACTTTCTGGCCATTTTCAGCTCCACTCTCAGAAGGGAATGCAGTGTTTGTGTTGATGTCGTGAGTTACAACAGCATGCTTTCTCGTCTTTCATAGTGTTGTGTGGGCAGCAGATCCTCAGGGGAAAATGAAAGATTTTATTACATAATAGCCGGAGATTTAAATAAAAAGACTAAGAAATAGGACAGAGGGGAAAAATAACTTTGTCCACTTGACATTGCCTTGACATTTCTGGGTTTGCACCTTGTCTTATGTCTCTCGGCACCCTTCGGAGATGGGGAGGGGGAGAAAAAAAAGATGTGAAGAGGCTGGAAGAATAGAGGGACGCACTCTTATGTCCCACTTTGCAAACTCTGCAGCCTACACTGCCAAGTCAATGTTACACCTATTCCACCTCCCCTAAAGCTTTAAATAGCCCACTCTGCCTCAACAGGACTAACAGAGAAAAACACACAGCCTTCAGCACACTCTGCACCTCCGACTGAACATTTATTATCCCTGTTGCCTAAACATGGAGCCTGCATCGTGCTTTCCACCCTCTTGTGACCATTCTGTCATCTGCAACTATCTGCAGAGGGAGAAGTATAAACACATGTCAGCAGGGCCGGCAGCTGTCACTGAGGGATGTTAAATCTGTCTGGAGCCTTTGAGCCAAGACAAAGACAATCTGGGTTTTTTTCTTTTATATGTGAAAGAATAGTTCAACATTATGGGAAATACGCTCCAAAGGTTTCTTTCTAGGATTTGATAAGAAGATTGATATCACTCTCACGTCTGTCCAATCAATAAAAAGCTAGTGTCAGCAGCTGCTTAGCTTAGTTTAGCATAGGATAAAGACTGGAAACAGTTATTGAGAGCTAGCAAAAAGTAACAAAAGACACCTATAACTTCTGAAGCTCCCTAATTAACTGGATAAACGTATCTAAAGTTATGTTTTATTGGAGGATTATGGGTCGGACTGTTTCTTGGCTGAGAGCAGTTGCTTAGCAACCAGTGGACACTCCATGATAGCAAATAAGTGTATCTCCAAAGTATTCCTTTTAGAGGACATCTTTTCTCACGGCTTGTCATTTTATATAATTTTAGGATTAAAAATAACACAGTATCATTTAAAAGAAACTGTGGATTAAGAGTTTGCTGCAGTAGCGTCATAGAGCCACAGAGATTAATGATTACCTTTAAGATCTAACTTTATGTCTTCGTCTGCCTGTTTCATAGATGACACTTTAAGGTTTAAATTGGTGGTGACCATGGAGGGTGAGATATAAATAGATGCCACTTTAATGTTTTGTCTAAAAATGTTATAGTTGGGAGAAAAATATATTTTACTCTCACTAAATAAAAAAGTATTTTTGGACATATGAACCCCTTAAATGAACCAATGTCTACTTTTTTTACCCTTAATTACAGATTGTTATCTTAGCGTTGACACAATTAATAAACAATTATTTTCTAGATTGTTTAATTGAATCCACCTGACTACCCAGCAGAGCCCTATAGCTCCATATATGTGTCAACTCTACAGGGAGTTTCTATGTGGATCCTCCATCTGGCTCTCTCTAAGCTCTGTATGATAAAATTTAACATCCGCCTATATACATATACATCCAACGACTGGATATATGTGTGTGTGTGTGTGTGTGTGTGTGTGTGTGTGTGTGTGTGTGTGTGTGTGTGTTTGCTAGAGGAAGAACAGAAGGAGAGGGCTCCTCACGCTTTGAATGTACATCTGTCAGAGAAAAGCATGAGCAATGAAGTCTTTAGTGCACACACCTAGTCTCCACTGTAGACTTCCTGTGTCTACCGTGAGTCACCATCTGTCTGTTATGTAAGTCGTCAGAGGAGAGAGGGGATCACTGACACACCTGTATCCTGGCATGTTTCACTTATCAATCACTTTACACACTATAGCCGCACATGCAGCCTCATACTTGTAAACTACAACTAAACATTTAATTATGACTCACTCTGCAGGAGTTTAACTGCCGCATTTCCTCATTTAGGTCTTCACTTCAAGCCAATACTTCATTAGTGTCATCAGATGAGAATAGCCGCCCTTGCTCATTTGCACATACATATATTTAGAGTGTGTGTGTGTGTGTGTGTGTGTGTGTGTGTGTGTGTGTGTGTGAGGGGGTGAATGCAGGCATGGATGTGGATAATTTGAAGTGCTCGTGTTAGTTTAGGACAAGAAAAGATCCTTTGGCGGCAGGAGCCAAATCTGCCACCTCCTCACCAGCAAAAGCCTTGCTCAAAACCTCAAAACTACCCCCGCAGCCTACAGTACCTCATGACCCTATCCCCTGCCACACACACACTTTAAGTATATATATATATATATATTTAAAAAAACCCTCTCTTCCCCCACATCCTAGGATGTGCTACAGTAATCTAGGGCACACTCACCAGCAATACAGATCTTTATCTACAGTTATATTTGCCTGGACACGTTTTTTCCTGGACAGGTTTGCAGTGATGAACCCATATCAAGGTTAATCATTCAGAAGTGGGGGTTAGCTGATACATATATATGTGTGTGTGTGTGTGTGTGTGTGTGTGTGTGTGTGTGTAGGGCAAGTGAATAATGCAACTCATGTGGGAAAAATACATTATAGTAACTGACAGGATATTTAATGAAAATAGGGCAACTGGGTGCTTTGCGACTACTGGGGCACATTCCTCTCTCTCTCTCTCTCTCTCTCTCTCTCTCTCTCACTTTCTGTGTAAGGGTGTGTGTGTGTGTGTGTGTGTGTGTGTGTGTGTGTTTGTGTGTGTGTGTGTTTGTGTGTGTGTGTGTGTGTGTGTGTGTGTTTGTGTGTGTGTGTGTAGCAGGTAAACGTCACAGCTTGCCGAGAAAGCAGCGAGCGCGCGCCACACTTCCTCAATCGACGGAATCACAGAGCGAAAAAAGCAGACGGAGAGAAAAGAGCAACTTCTCGTTCGTTGCCGCGGTGAACAAAAAGAAGCAGCGCCGAGTTTGCAGGGCGAGGTGAGACTGGCTGTTTTTAATTATTTAGTAGTGGTAGTTTTTTTATTTTCCCTCCACAGAGTTTAGGGGGTTGTTTTTACGTTTGTAGTTTGTTGCAGAAACTTGCTCAAAGACTAAAGAAACCCTAACCCCCCTCCCTTTTTAATTATGTGTCCTCTGCCATCAGCGGGGGAACGAACTGAAACGTCAAGCCGTTCGACCGTGACCGTTGGCGCTAACGTTCATTCTTTACAGTTTAAATTAAACCGACTTCACTTTAGTAACGTTAACACCACGTCTACGGCTTTTATGTGACCATTAAAGAAAAACAACACAATTTCACTACTTAGCGAGCTGTGATGAAATACCAATCCCGTCCGAAGAGAGTGTTTCCTTGTTTTAGAGGCATTTTCACTTAAAAAGATGCAGCGGAATCTGCGAGCTGTCATATTGTGGCGCTACACGGTCAACTATGGAGAACAACAACCAACAACAAAAAAAAGACTGATTGGTTGATCAAACATTGACAACTCAAAGCCAAACTGACTTAACACTATAATCACTCTTTAGATCCGATCTAAACCCAACGTGGTCATCTGGTAAATCACTAAAAGTTTGCTATAGCAACAGTTGTGTGGCAATATGGAAGTTCGGTACGGGTCACAGAATCCGTTGTAACACGGGCGTGAAGAGGAGGAGGAGGAGGAGTGCAGGTAGGAATGGACAGCTACGAAAGAGACGGTAGACATTTATTTCTCATAAAGACAGTGTGGTTGCAATCTGTGTCACTTGTAAAGTCAACTGACAAAATCAACCACATCCTTGAAAGAGAAAATCAGATGCACAGACTCTGTGACTGCATGACTGACAGCGTTGTTTATCACTATAACAGCTGTCCGGGACTTTTTGATCTCTCATAGTGTTTCAGGCTTTGAACATGGTGACAATATGTTCTTAGCTGTTATATTTTAACCACGTGTATGTGTGTATGTGTGTGACACAGAGGTGTAAGGGGGGCGACACCGGTAGTAAGAGTGCAGTTTAATGCTGACATGCTTACATTGTGAGGTGCTCCACAGTAGTTTGCAGTGACAGTTACATCTATGTAGCAGATTACTGTACACGCTCCCTCTCTTTTTCTGTATTTTTTTTAGTGGTGCAAATGTTCTCTTTCTCTTTAATTATAAGTATAATTATGCAACTTTCTCTATTCGTTATTTTAGTATTTCAGATACTTTACTAGTAATATTAGTACACAGCTCAGTCACCAGCATTCACGCTTGACACAGACAAGCTACTAATTCCACCACAACAACTGTTTCATATACTAAACATCCAATTCCTGTATAATAGATGCTTATCTTAAGATATGGTGTTCAAATACAAGTATGCATGCTTTGTGCATGAGTCACAGAGTTGGGGGGGGGGTGATTACATCCTTACATAGCCTTATTAAATAATTCTTAGTACTCCTACTAACAAATACTCTTTTGTGTTGGTCATTAATAAAGGTATCAGGAAGTAGGCTATATAATATATAATACATATAATATAAATTTAATATTAGGAAGTTAGGTGGAAGCTTGCAAGTTACAGTATACTGGTGCATGGGGCATGAATTTAATGGATGGGACAAATCGAAATTGCACATTAACAGTTTGCAAGGTAATCAATCACTGCCCTCAATCACACAGTGTGCTTGGTATTGATTAACTCCCAAAACCTTGACATGACGGCTCACAGCAGCGAGACTGTGAGTGAACATGGTCGTTCATCACCCTCCTCTCTTAGTGCATACTTTCTGTGACTTACTTTTCTGAGCTCACTGTGGGCGGTTCAGTTATGGGGGTAGGATCGTGAATACCAGCTAGGCCTACTGCGGGGCGCTGCATGCATATATTTGGATTAGTGACATGTTGAGGCTCGCTCTGCCTTTGCAGGCAAACTTCATGGTTTAAGCTGCAGCCTTTCAGGAACTACACTGTCAATAAAACAGTGACACGGGGAGCCCAACAAGTGGCAGAGGGGCAAATGATTATGACATGTTTGACACTGTGGTTGTATTTTATACAAAGAGATGTGCAACTAACACATCAGGCGTGTACAAGTGCATGGGCGTGACTGCCCGGCCACAGATTGATGGGCTTCACCTTTTGCAGCGCATATATAGAAAATGGTGGTGCTTAGGCCATTATACACACAGTTATGGCTGCGTCTGTAGCACATGTAAGCTTATGTAAGCAGGGAATCATGCATGCTGCAGCTAATGCCCGGCTTGGAGGGTGATATTGATTTTTCACCAGTATGTCAGTATCAATATATATTTTACCTCTAATGCACAAGGGATGCAATTTGTCTTTAACATCTCTTAATGTATTGCCTTTTTGTCCAATAATTGAATCATTAAGTCTATAACATCTATTTAAAAATGACAAATGCCCATCACAAGAGTCCAAAATTATGCTTTTGAACTATCACCCCCCCGAAAAAAATCAGATCTACAGTCATACTTGTTTTTTTACTTTTACCTCTGACAACCAACTTTTGTTGAAACCAGATACAAAAAGATCTGCAATAGTCTGTTCTCCACACACAAACAGGTGTTGCTGACGGAGCTTTAAAGATGTTTTGTGTCCCTCCTTCACGTGGGTGTGACTGAGTAGGAATGTCTCAAAGTGAGAAAGAAGTACAAGAATAAATGCAAAGTGGCAGTGCAGCCAAAGAAATTGTTTTTCCTAATTCTGTGAATTTCACTGTGATTCAACATAAGTAGCTCTGTCCTCACTGACACAGCCATCCACTGTTTTTGTGTGTAGGTTTCAGACAAGTTGTCAGGAATTATGTTTTAAATTTATTTCTCAATTATGTTTTAAATTTATTTCTCAAACGTTAAAGAAGCACGCTCTCCTCTGATATTGCTCAGTTTCACAGTGCACATAGAGAAAATGCAGTTTTACATAGACTGATAGCACTTATCTTAATGCTTAAAGCATATGCAACTGTGTGTATGTATGCAATATATTAAGGGGATATGATTTTGAACTATAGCTGTGTGTGTAACTAACATGTCATTATAGATGAATGTCGCCAGGGTAACACTGTGTTTGTCCATCTCTGAGAGCAGGTGACCTTGGTACTCATCACCATGGCTCCTTTCTTGAGGATTGCCTTTAATTCGTACGACTTGGGCGTTCTGCCTTCTCTGGTCGACCCGCCGTTCTGTGCAATCAAGATGAAGGAGGCCTTGACAACTGGTAAGTAACTCTTTGATAGCTGGCACCACCCTGTCTTTTACAGAAGTCTGTAAAAAGTTTTGCTACTTCCTTCTCATTTCCTGTTTAAAAACACAGTAACACAGATATTTCTCGCTTTTTTTCCCTCTCTCTTTTCCTAGAACGAGGCAAGACCCTGGTTCAGCGGAAACCCACCATGTACCCGGCGTGGAAGGCCAGTTTTGATGCACACATCTATGAAGGTCGTGTGCTTGAGGTACTACTGATGAAGACGGCGGAGGAGCCGCTTGCTGAGGTCACCGTTGGTGTGTCTGTCCTTGCTGAGCGCTGCAAGAAAGCCAACGGGCGTGCTGAATTCTGGGTAGGGCATTACAGTGTCCTCTGTCCCTGTAGAGCAATATCTCAGGCTGTCTGTGTGTGACCATGTATTGGTGTGTTCAGGTGGATCTCCATCCTTCTGGGAAAGTGATGATGGCAGTGCAGTATTTTCTGGAAGGAGGGGATACAGGTAAAGGAAATAAAGTGGAAACATTCTCTGCTTTTCCCAGTTCTCTACCCACATACCCACATACCAACATACCCACAACAGTGTTGCTAAATTGTGATTGGGGCTCGGACACATTATTCTAACTTAAACCCACACACTTAAAACCAGAACACAGACAAAACACAAATGCAGAAATCACTCAAATACAATAACCATAACTGCTCTTAACCATAACTTTGGCAGAAAGAAATGTTGGACCCCATCACTCATAGTAATAAGCTGGGAATATACGTTATAAGAGTATAAAAAAGGGAAAGAATCCTTGCACATGTCTCATCAAATACCATGTTGATAAAACTTAATCTGTAGCTTCACAACCAGCTTGTCTGATTTCCTCTGTAGTTTTCATCCCTTTCAACTTTAAACCCCTCTATCCCTATACATACACAGATGGTCCAGCCACTTGTCAGTGTTATTCCTTGCTAATCTAATCTTATCATTCACAGGCATTGACATGAGCAATTCCTGTAGGTTCCCATAGATTATCATTAAGCCTATCAAACTGTGATGTATACAAAATGACCTTTGTTTTTCCATTGCAATGTTGTAGGATGACTAATCCATATTTCTCTGTCTCTGCCTGTCTGTAAGAGAGTAAGCAGGCTGCAAAAGAGGAAGAGGCTCCTACCTTGAACCGTAGACGAGGAGCCATCAAGCAGGCCAAGATCCACTTCATAAAGAACCACGAGTTCATCGCCACATTCTTCAGACAGCCCACTTTCTGCTCTGTGTGCAGAGAATTTGTCTGGTCAGTTCAGCCCTGTAAACAAATCTTTAAGGCAGCTAAAGGGGAACTCGTAAACCAACGATCAGATACACAAACTAAAACACCAAACAAGGGTGGATTAAAAACATAGTGTCAAGAGGCTTCCTGATATGTAGCCACATTTAAACACCCTGCGTCTGTCAAACTGAGTTACACAACCAGTTTGCTTGTGAATTTATCGATAAAAACCAATAAGGTCAACCTTTCCTTTAAGTTGTAATGTCTGTAGCAATAATGTTTGTCATCCTTTGATGGCTACATATGTCCACTAATTTATTTGCTTTGAAGCCCATTTTAGTCTCACTCAACAGGAAGTTTGGAGGAAAAGGAAACCCTGATTCACAAATCAGCATGGGTGTACTTTAGCTGTGCATTATGACTAATCAGTGATTAATCAGTGATTAATCAGCAACCATTCACATGATTAAAGGATGATACAAACTGACCCATTTGTGTCACTTTGGCTCCCACAGGGGACTCAACAAGCAAGGCTATAAATGCAGACGTAAGTGTACAATAATTTAAAAACTCCTGTGCTTTGTGCAATACTTGAAATAGAAGTCCAGTGTACAGATGGTATAAAATACTTTTTCTTTTGTAAGCATTTTGTAAGTGTTGCTTTGTGGCCAGTGTACAAAATATACTCACAGTCTGGTTCAAAGGATACAAATATCTTTGCTTTTTTATCAGAATGCAATGCAGCCATCCACAAGAAATGCATAGACAAAATCATCGGCAGATGTACCGGTACTGCTGCCAACAGTCGGGATACTGTGGTACGTATCACATATTTGTGCAGTACACCATGTACTGTGAGAGCTGTCCATATGCCTCGAGATTTCAGTTTAGTGTGGGCTTTTCTCACTCTGGTTTTTGCTGTTATAGTAAAGTGATTCTCCTTAACAATATGAACAATTATTCATATTATTAATATGAGGTGTTTTGTATGTGAGTGTCATGTTTTTGTTTTGTGTGGACCCCAGGAATAGTAACTGATGTTCTGCATCAGCTAATGGGGATCCTAATAAAATACAACATTTTAATATAATTAAAATGGCAGGTGTTGCCAGGTCAGAGTTTAATACAAAGGCAAATACCAGTCAGGGTCCACATGCAATAAGATGTTCTTTTTGAGTTCATCAATATTGGTGGATAAGAACGATCAAAGACCAACTAGGTCTAGATAATGGTTACATGTAAATGATCAAGCACACACACCCACCCATTGAGTTGACCACACCCCAATATTAGATGGGGTGTGGTCTCAGAGAGGCACTTCACAGTAGGGGCCGACCTGAAAAGAAACAAGGAACTTTTATCCTGCAGTGTGGCTTCTGACCGTAGAAGCTCAGAGAGGGAAGCAGAAAACAAAAAAAAGAAAAAGATGAGGCTGGTGCGCAGGCCTGTGAGGTGTCACAGGCCACTAATTTGGATTCCTTTGCAACCGGTCATTACTGCAGATGATGAATCCCGTTTTTCCCTGCAGTTCCAGAAGGAGCGCTTTAAAATTGACATGCCACACCGTTTCAAGACCAACAACTACATGAGTCCAACCTTCTGTGACCACTGTGGAAGTCTGCTGTGGGGTCTAGTCAAACAAGGCCTCAAGTGTGAAGGTACAGTGCAGATATGATTGACTGATTGTTGAACTTAAAGTGTACTTTTGTCTTTAAAATACTTTTTTTTGGTTCTGGTTGTAGATTGTGCCATGAATGTCCATCATAAGTGTCAAGATAAAGTAGCCAACCTTTGTGGGATCAACCAGAAACTACTAGCTGAAGCACTTACACAAGTCAGCCAGGTGAGTTCATGGAGACAGTCACAAGTCTTTCATTACATGGTCAAATCAAGTAAAACTTAAAGAATTCAAGGGACAAGTCTGACGCAAGTATCATACCACTTAATTAAATCATAACATGGCTCTTTCATCCATCACAGACATCTGATTACATTATGTCTTACTTATCTATGAGTATACTGAAATGGGTTTAAATACTAACATGACATGAGACCCACAAGCGCTTGATACCCTTACTGCCATGCCCCAAGTAATTCGAATTTTACCCTTCCCAAACATATGTGCACATTTATACTTACAATAGTTGCATTTATTTTTTTGTATTCAGGAGTTGTTAGTCTGAGTTGTTGTTAGGTGAGTCCGAAGGGAGCTTGGTAACACTTAATTTAGATGTTGTCCAAGTCCACAGGTGTTATTTAATCTTTTGGTAGAATCGGAATATGACAATAAAAAGATATTTTATATTATTTTATTAAATTATTATCCCAACACTAAGTAGAGTATCACGTGACAGTCAGTCCCTTGTTTACTAACCCCTTACAATCCCTTAATAAGTTGATTATTAACAATGGACTATCAAAATTAAGCGTAACTATCAAACTGAGTCTCTTGAATGTGAAACTCCCAATCCCCAGTGTGTGTTGAATTGTTGAGAGTGTGACACCTGACCTCAATGGGAACCTGAGCTTCCTGTCCTGGTGTGTTTAAGGACTGGCTCGCAGTGGAAACCCCAGTTCTCTTAATCACTGTTTAAAAGAAGAATCAGACTAAATGTGTTCACATTGGCTATACCACAGCATCTAGCTAACCATTTCTGGGAAACTATTTGTCTGGCTGTTTCATGCTTACTTTTGCTGTTGCATTTGCTTTTCCGTCAGAAATCATCCACTCGCCGTTCAGATCCAAACCTGCCTAATCTGTCTGATATTGGAATCTACGATGAAGTTAACAAGCTTGCTGGCCTGGATGTCAATGGTTAGTGAGTGCAATTCCTCATGTGCATGTACTTACATGAATTCATGTGAGCAGTATAGCTCTGTACTGATAAAAATGCTCGCAGAATAATCTAAAAAAGTGTTCAGTGTTTAAGATAATTATGTGAGTATTTAATTTCTATGTGTGGTTCTTTTCATTAGATGGGTCTACCTATGGCAGACTTTGGGAGGGGTCCAGCCCACGGCCTCAGTCTCGTATTACCCATTTGACCCGCATCAATGTGGACAACTTCATCTTCCACAAGGTCTTGGGAAAAGGCAGCTTTGGCAAGGTACAAAGCAACAGTGTTGTTTTAAAAACCCCAACCCAAGAGTGAATTAACAACACTCCTGTCAATACTTTTCCTAAACATACCGGCAAGTGCACGCGTCATATAGAAATAACATAAATTGTAGGTGTGTGATCAAACTGTGAGCTGTGGACAAGGTGTTTACATTCACTGGATCAACAAACTGACATTTTCAACCTTCATGCTCTTAATAATTTTCTCCTCTCCTCTTCTCACAGGTTCTCCTGGCAGAGCTGAAGGGTCATGGAGAGTACTTTGCAGTGAAGGCACTGAAGAAAGATGTTGTGCTGATGGATGACGACGTGGAGTGCACGATGGTGGAGAAGAGAGTCTTGGCTTTAGCCTGGGGAAACCCTTTCCTCACACACCTTTACTCCACCTTCCAGACCAAGGTAGTTCCTTTCCACCTCAACAGTGTCTCTGTCAACTTTCCTGCTCTACATCATTGGTTAATATTGTGTCCTCAACACTCAAAGTAAAACTTGTCAACAGGAGCATCTGTTCTTTGTAATGGAGTATCTGAACGGAGGAGACCTGATGTTTCATATTCAGGAGAAAGGGCGCTTTGAACTCTACAGAGCCACGTGAGTCACACTGACATAAAAACACACACTACCTGCCATCATTACTAAGTTATCTCGTGCTCCTGTAGCTGTGCAGAGCGTTGAGCATACAGAATCAGTGAGCTGATGGAAAGCAGATACTCGTAAAGAAGAGCTTATATTTACTCTCCCCATGTCACAGTCTTTGTCTCTCTACCATTATGTTTTTTTTTCTTTTACATGATATACTAAACCCTGATGTGCTGAGGCTGCACTGGGGTGCATTATCTGCTGCTCACTAGCAGACTGGCCTTGTAAGGAGTAAGCAGCTCTTAGTGCCTGTGTACTGTTTGTATAGGGAGGTATCAGTTACTGCCACCCACCTCTCTACTCATCACTCTGTGGGAATCCCTCCAGAAAAAAAAACAATGGCTCACTGGTAAAAGGGAGTTATATGACGTCTAAAGCTTGGTGGCACCTGCCCCACTGCCAACTCAAGTTTTGAAAAGTCTCACATTTAAAAATGTCTTTGCTGGTGCTGTTAAACACACAAATCAAGCTTCAAAGCAATAAATACAAGATAATGCTTTGTGTTGTTTCGAAACACAAAGAAAATGTATGCTTAGAAGCTGATTTACAAAAAAATGGAAGTAACTTCTTTTATGACGTATTTTTCCAGTAAATGGTGTCACCTTTATTGATTTCACCTTATTAAAATGACAGGACAGAAATAGCTGAGAAAACTCAAAAGGACCACTCGTAGCTTTTCTGGAGCTTTTTTCGATTGTATCACACAGTCTTCCTCAGCAGATGGAGTTTGCCCAGTTGTTGAATTGTAGTCATTCCCGATTTCATTATTTTGAGCACCTTAAGGATAGATAAATGAGGAACAGTAAGGTCTTTTCTGGTGTTGTATTCACAATCAGAGCAAAAACACACAAACAAATTTACCTTAAAGGTGAAGTAACACTAGTTTGGTATGATTCTAGGTACAAAGATATGAGTAGATTTCAGTACATGCATTGTTGTGGAAGTTAGTTCTCTGTTTTGAAGAGTGTCGAGATTATGAATGCATTTACAAATATATTTCTCATACACTAGTATTCTTTTTGAACATGCTGGTGTATGTTTAAAAACAGTTTTCACGTGGTCTGCCATTACATTTCCTGTAGTTAAACTGGTGGCTGTCTCCTGGACCCATGAGATGACAGGAGTAATTATCTACTTTACAAACACAGACACCTGATCTTGTGTTGGCATCCACTAAAATCCTCTTCACTCAGTGATTGTATTCAGCCTGGATGGAAAATGTACCCTCAGTAAATGAGGAAAAAAGAGAGTGGTTGTTTGTTTCATTATCTCTCAATGGAATCATTTTTATACTTGCATTTGCATGTTTGTTTACATATGGGTCAGGGACAATGATGAGTTTTAATACATTTCTTAGTATGTTCACTTGTATGGACAGTTGCGCGCTTCAAGCTTCCAAAACATAAATAATATGTTTTATTTTAATGTACCCAAATTGTATTCAAACTAAATAGATTTTATGTAATAAAATGATATGTGTCAAGAATGTATTAAATAGTTTTAAAAGGAAATAATACATTCGGACACAAAAATATACAGGCCTAATAAATAAGCTTGTTTGTTGCTGCACAACTTGTCACTGTGGAATGGAAAGTATCTCTTGAATTTGGTTATGCAATATTTTTCCGTAGGCAACAAATTAACTGCAAAGTTTCCAGTGACCTCTTTATCAGCACAGAGGCCTGGTTCTCCCAGTGGCTACTGCTAACCTGTTGACTGGTGCCATGCAGAGTCTGGTCCAGTGTCTCAGTGTGCCCCATAAAGCAGAGCCAAACTTACTTACACATCTCAAGACTTCATTTTACATTCTGTTTTGTGTTTGTAGTGTTGTTTGTAGAGCAGGTTTAGACGTGCATTTACACTTTCTAACTTGTTCTATGAGAGGTATATTTGTAAGGGTTTCAAGTAAGATATAATTAGATAAAACCTGACAGTGTTTCAGTCCTTGTCAGTTGGTCATTTACAGTGAAGGACCAGTTATTGGGTTTGAGCGGAGGCTACTCTATCTCCTCTCAGGGCTCAATTGTTTCACCTGACATAGATGACAAGAGAAGCAGGTTAGAGATAGGCTAATCTTTCGGCTCAGAGCGGTTCTCAGGTTTCACATTATTAGAGTGTTATTCACCTGTATCCTACTCCATACAAATGTCCTCCTCAATAATTCAGCTCTACACTGAAATGAGTCTGCAGTGACACCAGTGTTCAGCTGCCAACTCAGTAGTGAGATAGCTAGCCAGAGATGAGTAGTTGATATCTGTCTGTCTCTGCCATGTTTGTCTTCCCAGGTTCTACTCTGCTGAAATCATTTGTGGTCTTCAGTTCTTACATACCAAAGGGATCATCTACAGGTCAGAGCAACAATATGTATTACATCTGGATGTACATACACTTAACCCCTACATTTAAAACACTATATTCTTTACATATCAGCTGTATTAGACTATTTTCAATTATTTCCCACAAGACCGTTGATTTCAATGCAGTTGCGAGTGTGAGAGCGTGAAGATACTCTAAACTTGCTTGGTTAGGTAATCCCACTCATTTTAACACATTTTGTTTCCTGAAAGTTCATCATCATTGTGTGTTTAGAAGACTGTCCCCGTGGGTGCAGTCTATAAAATCAAATTCAGAAGAAAAACAATGAAACATGTATTTTGTGAATTTGTTCATTTTTTGCAGTAAAAAAGCTGATTCTGAAATCTGAGGAATAGTGTAACTGCTTGTAGTTGCATAACCATCTAAGAATATAATAATGTTTCCAAAATGTCTTGTAAAGAAACCCATCAACTGTGGACTAATTATTCAATTTATTAGATTACCTATCTCAGGCTAGTTTCAGATCTCTGCAAGATTTAGATCATAGTTAATGAACTGGAACCAGTGGCTGCCTGGATATAAGAACTAAGTAAGAAACTAAGTGCTTTGAAAAAATGGTTAGCAATATGACAACATTTAATAATATAACCTAAGATTAATGTTTAAAACATGCCACTGGTATGGTTCTATAAATAAAAAGTGTAAGTTATGAGTTGTAATGTTCTTGAGTTGTTGCTGTTTTAAGGAAGTGAGCATTCAAGGATTTACAGGTTTTTTTTTTTACTTTTAAGGTACTTTTAATGCATATTTAATCTTCTAAAAGTTAATTTACATGCAATACAACATACAACATGTAAGCAATAAGTGGCACTCTAACTTAATTCATAAATAAAGACAAAATAGTCATATCAAACTTTATAATTGCAAACTCACAATCTATTATCATCTTCAGTCATCGTGTTTATTTTCAATTCTGCTGTGATTGTTTTGTTTCCAGAGATCTTAAGTTAGACAATGTGATGCTCGACCACGAGGGACACATAAAGATTGCCGACTTCGGCATGTGCAAGGAGAACTTGTTTGGAGAGAATCGTGCGACAACTTTCTGTGGTACTCCGGACTATATCGCTCCAGAGGTAAAGTGTTTCATACTCAGAATATCTCTTGTTCTGAACTATTTAATTCTGCAACTTAGCTTTTGTTGGTCTACATGAAAACAAGTGTCAGTGTCTGTTAGACTATTTCTAATTTATTTATTTATTTATTATTTTCTATTTGTGCTTCAACTCAGATCCTGCTGGGACAGAAATACTCCTTCTCTGTTGACTGGTGGTCATTTGGGGTGCTGCTGTATGAAATGCTGGTTGGTCAGTCACCTTTCCATGGAGACGATGAGGATGAGTTGTTTGAGTCCATCCGCATGGATACTCCCCACTATCCTCGCTGGATCAATAAGGAGGCGAAGGAACTCCTGGAGCGGGTCTGTACCATATCTTTTATAAAAAATACGTGCGTCACTTTTGTTCCTAAGGGACAATCTGGTATTTCCATGTTTGATTATTTGTTGGTTTTAATTTTACTGTCTTGGGTTGATGAAATCTACTAAATAATGTTTAACACAGCTGACAAATAACTGTTTTTGAGATGTAATGGTGCACATTACTTACCCTAACTAACTTTGTTTCAGTTGTTCGAGAGAGACCCCACTCGCAGGCTAGGAATCGTGGGTAATATCCGTTTACAGCCCTTCTTCAAGGCCATTAACTGGCAGGCTTTGGAAAATAGAGAGATTGAACCCCCCTTCAAACCCAAAGTGGTATGCCCCACGCACAAGTCACTGAGGATTAAATTATAAATAAATATGGATCATGTGCTGTGTTTACATGTTTATAATCTGTGATAATTGTCTGTTTTATCATTTTGCTGAGGTCTGTTTGTTGTCCAATTACAGAAAGCACCAAATGATTGCAGCAACTTCGATCGTGAGTTCCTCAGTGAGAAGCCTCGTCTCTCCTACAGCGATAAGAACTTCATAGATTCCATGGATCAGTCGGCATTCTCCGGCTTTTCATTCATCAACCCTAAGATGGAGCACCTTTTAGAAAAGTGACCGTTCTAATAATAGTCAGACCTGGGTTACATTCCTACTGTTTCCGGACAGTTCTCTTATTCTGTTTTATTGTTAAACTTGCAAATGAGTTAGCTGCTCCACAATCAGTATTTTTGTGACCTTTTAAGCACAAACTATTCTCCTTGGGTACGTGTAGAAATGAGTACGAGTAGAAGCGGGCCCTTATACTGTATATATTGATGTTATTGTGTTTGTGTGCATGCTTATTATTTGTTTAGGTTGTGAAGGCCTATATGAGTAATAATATTAGGGCGGGAGGTTGAAACTCCTTTTACAATCCACTTGACGTCACTGCGACCATCCGCAGCCATCTTGTGTCCCTTTTCATAAAATTCAGTTCAACCCAACTGAGGATGAAACATTATGTGGATGGAAGGAAACCTGTAGGAATAAATTATGCTGTATACTTCAAATGTAGATGTGTGGATGAGGCGACTGCATGTACAGAGACCAGACCAACAAAAACCTATCCATCTTTAAATTTAGATTAATAATGAATATTATTTGTCTTTGAAACATCTGAATTCTTGCCTTTGACTGGATAAAACATGTCTTGGTGACAAAGGAGAACTTTGTGTGATTGACTCAACAGTGCCATGTAAAGAACAAATGTAAACAGAGAAACAGCTAGTCTCAGCTGTACTGAAAGGTCCTGTCTGTTGATAGGGGCAGACTGCACGCAGTTGGGGGTGCAGGAAGTTCAATAAAGGTACGTGACTTCAAACAATGAGTGGGAAGTCACTGAAATGCTGTATATAGACAATGTATGTATATTGTAACATGTATATTGGTTCACTAAGGATGTACTTTTTTTACTGTCTCCATCTTTTACATCTGATTAAAACATCAACTCCCAAGTCTGATGTGCTGTTTTTTAAACTTCTGCAGTTTACATTGTCCTCATACTATTGCGGGTTAAGTTCTCACAAACAAGGACATTTTAGAGGGTTTAGTCAGATCAGGGCTTGTCTGTGGTGCAGGTGACAGGTGACTAATGAAGGTTTGTTGTATTTCAGTATTTTTATATGGACATAGAATTTGGGATTAGTTTGAATGTATTATAGGTTTTATTGTGTTTCATGTTTGTTCTGTGTTAGTTTCTAACATCTTGGGTCCATGTTGGAAAAAACTGCTGTCAGTTTAATTTAATATCCCTTGGATTCAGTGTTTTTTGTTGATCCCTTTATAAACCAAATAATAAAAATAAAAAACTCTTAGACAACCTATAACATGCTGGATATCTTAAGATCAATAAAAACTACTGATCCTACCTATTGAGTGGGGTATACTTTACCTGCTTACGGACATGAAGTGCTTGCATTTTGAGATTTAAAAAAAATGCAGTTATAGACCGGTCGTCAGGGAATAGTAGAACATTTTTTCGGTAAACGAACAATAAAAAAATAAAAGACAGTGAAAAAAATTGAAAACTAGATTTGATCAGCTTGTAACTGATTGTTAGTTGTAATAAAGTGTTTAATAATATATAAAAGTTTTTTTTTTCTCAGCAGAATTAATTTAGTGAGTGTAGATTTTCCCCTTATAGAATCGATACATCTGCATCAACCATTTGTTGATCATATGGAGGTGCAGATTAAAAACAAAGAGGACATAACTATTGTGACGATTACGCCCTCTAGCGACACCGCGGTGGACGTTACGTTCCTGACGTCACTGCGTAACGTGTGTCCGTACAATGTGTACGGAAGTGTTTTTTGTCGTGTTGCGGAAGTGTCACTACTACTGCTTCTAGCTCACCTAAAGTAATATAACACTTGCTCATTAGGAGCTATTCTCGTCGGTTTTAGGCAGCCACGGTGACACTTTCCACAGTATGACCGTATTATGATTTTCCTTCGTAGAAAACTGCGGATAAATTGTCAAATTCAGGTTTGATAAAAGACTTCCAGCGAGTCAGAGGAAGTCCACAATGAGTACTGAGGATGTATTGAAGAATGCGTCCACTCTAGCATCGTACAATGTGTTGTTACAGGTACACACACACACACACACACACACACACACACACACAGTTGAGCTATCACATCATACCAGCTAATACTTCTGTCTTGATTGTTAAACGAGTAATATGTTTTACTTTCTCAGGTGATGTTTCGTGTTCTCACCTTCTTACTGAATGCGTTCACACTGCGGTTTGTGTCCAAAGAGCTGATTGGTGTTGTCAATGTCAGGTAAAGATGGCTGAGATGGGAGAACAGTGAAGAACCAGTAAAGATGAGAAAAGAGCCAACACATTTCTCCTGTAACTTATGTTTGTTTCTGTCATGCAGGCTTACATTATTGTACTCCACATTAGTATTTTTATCCAGAGAAGCTTTCCGGAGAGCCTGCCTGAGTGGGGTATCTGGGACCAACCACAGCTGGAGACAAGTTATAAACCTGCTGTGGCTGACGTGAGTTGACTTTATAAAATAATTAAAGTATGGGACGTGTGTTTGATCTTGTGTATTCGGCCTGTGTGACTTATATTTGCCTGTCTTACGTCTCAGGTTGCCTCTGGGTGTGTTATGGGCATCCCTGCTGGTCTGTGTGTGGCTGTGGCTCCTGGAGGTCCCAGACCCCCAGACTGTCCCTTACTACGGCCCTGCTGTGGTGTTGTTCGCCCTGTCAGGAGTGCAGGAGCTCCTGGCCGAGCCACTCTGGGTCCTGGCTCAAGCTCACATGTTTGTCCGACTGAAGGTTGTCACTGAGAGCTTAGCAATGATCGCTAAGTGCAGTATCACTGTGGTGCTGGTGGTGTTTGCCCGTGAATGGGGCCTTTACATCTTCTCTGTTGCTCATGTAAGAAACAAAGTCTTTCTCAGTTATTTCCGTGATAACTTCTTCTGTATGTAATGATTCTAAGCTATGGGCTTTTCTTTAGTTGGTGTACACAGGATTCCTGGTGCTGTGCTATGCTGTTTACTTCATTCATTTCTTGGGCTCTAAAGAGGCTGCCAAGAAGAGTTTCCCTCTGCGCCATGTTGGAGATCTCTTGCCCTGTAGAGCTGATGGAGAGGTAGTAGGAGAGGACAATATGTTACTATTCATTATTTATGATCTGGCCTTTCAAAATCAAAAAGATTTGTTGCTAGATAAGCTGTAACCATACACGACTAATGATTCTCATCTATTGTTTATAGCCGCTGGTTGATTGGACTCTGGCCAGGCTCACGTGGAGCTTCTTCAAGCAGTCCTTCCTGAAGCAGATCCTGACAGAGGGCGAGCGCTACGTCATGACTTTCCTGAACGTCCTCAGCTTTGGAGACCAGGGAGTTTATGATATAGTCAATAATCTGGGCTCCATGGTGGCTCGCTTCATCTTCTTGCCTATCGAGGAAAGCTTCTACATCTTCTTTGCCAAAGTGCTGGAGCGAGGACGTGATGTCAAAAGTCAGAAACAGGTGTGAAACTTGGATGTGAACAAACACGTCTTTGAGAATGGCTAGATGCCTGCTTTACTTCACGTTGTGGGTTTGGTCTACAGGAAGAAGTTGCCATTGTAGCAGAGGTGTTGGAGTGTCTGCTGAAACTGGTGCTGGTGATTGGTCTGATTATCACAGTGTTTGGTTACGCCTACTCTCACTTGGCCCTGGACATTTACGGCGGCTCTCTACTGAGCAGTGGGGCAGGTAAGTGAGCTAGAGGTTGTATTGGGGTATGTGTGACAAATTCTGCTGTGCTTTGTGTTCTTAGTCACAGCTTGTTTCTTTTGTGTGTTTTTTAATAAAGGGCCCGCTCTGCTGCAGTGCTACAGCTGCTACGTTCTCCTACTCGCTGTAAACGGTGTAACAGAGTGTTTTGTATTTGCTGCCATGAGCCAAGAAGAGGTTGACAAGTAAGAATGTAGAAATATACGTTCAGATATTAAACATAATGTAACCCGTCGGTTAACAGAGTGTTTGTGATTTGTCCTCAGGTATAACTTGGTGATGCTCGCTCTGTCTGTGTCTTTCCTGTTCCTGTCCTACATGCTGACGTGGTGGGCTGGCGCTGTGGGCTTCATACTGGCAAACTGTCTCAACATGGGCCTCCGCATCTTGCACAGTGTGCTTTACATACACCACTACTTCCAGTCCAGTCAATGGAAACCTCTGCGAGGCCTGTTGCCTTCCCCACTCCTACTACTGGCACTTGCTGTCAGTGCCGTTGTCACAGCGCTGTCTGAGGTATCTTTGTTTTATCTCTAAATATTGACCAGTACATTGCAGTTTTATTCTATATAATCTGTACTAAATCTTGTAAAAGTGGCCCTAACATGAGGTTCTTTATTCTCTGGTTTCAGGGTGTTTTCTGCTGTGACAGCGGCTGGTTGCTAAGGCTGGTCCATATCGGTGTAGGAGCAGCGTGCCTGCTCGGTGTGTTTGTAGCTGTTCTTCTCACAGAGACTCAGCTTATTCAGTTTGTGAGGACTCAGCTCTTGCCCCGATACGCAAAGAAACAAACTTGAATTGGACTGGAAGCGGGTGTACTGGACTGGAAGAAAGTTTCTGTTTCACTACAAACAGCGCTACAGATTGACAGTTACTGACTGTGTGAAAGCAACGAGGGAACGACTTTTCAAAATATACCTCACATGCATGAATGTATGTGTCTGTGGTGTTGGTATGTTTTAACTGGACATGTTACTGGAACACATTCCTGTGTTGACACATACAAGTATGAACAAACTGATCATTACTGTTTTAGGATCTGATTGTGGGTAAAAAAATGAATGTGTTTTAACAGTTGAATTTGATACAGGAGTAGATTGTCCTACAAAATAAAACAAGGCAACCTAATTCATATTTGTGGTGTTAAAGTTAATTTAATGAAATATATGAACCTATAAACTGTAAGGAGCCGAGAGGATATGTCGTGTGTGTCTAAATGTTGTCAAATCATCAAAGCTCTCAATGCGTTTCACCATTTTGGAGAATTCCTGCTGTTTTAAGGCAGTTTTTGAGTAAAGGCAACAGATTTGAGTAAAATCCAAATGTACAGTTGTACTTGATTGCCTAACATGACATGACTTCAAATTATATAATTTGTATGTTTAGAAATGTTTTCTGCTTTGAGATGTTTTATTGCTGCTACGGATGTATATTGTGAGGAAGTATACACTTTCTTGAGCATAGGTTTGCACACTTTATTTGCAACAGTGATGATCTTTTTTGTCATTTTTTAAAAGCTTTTATTCTAAGTAGGTTTGAGACCAGTGATTGTTTGACATGTTGCTTGGAAACTAGTATTTTGTTTGGTTGTTCCTCTGTACTAATAGCCTGAATTAAGAGTCCCTTAGGGCTGAATAATGATGTAATTATGGAAAATGAGCAGGAAGGGGTGGGAACCGCATTCTTTTGAAGCAGGGCAATGCTTATTCACCCTACTCCTTTTTTTAAAAACATAGATTTGTACACGAGTCAGGCATAGTATAAAGTTTATTATCTTTTGAACTTTGACTCCAATTTGCTTGCTTATCACCATTGCTGTTAGAAAGTGGTGGTTTGGAGGAAGGCGAAGGCGAGGATACACAGACAGACGTTTGTCATATTCTTGCACCTCTGGGATTTATTTGGGGAAATGTAATGCCACGAATTGTAGCAGTGATCTCATCATTTTCTAATGAAGCAGCAGAGAGGAGATCAGATCATGAGAAAAACCAGAGGCAGAGAGACAGAAAAGAGGAGGAGCCTTTACACTCATTACGTCATTTATTAGTCTCAAGAACAGATTTATTGTCCACTGGAGAATCACTGCTAGGTCGTGTATATATATGAGTGTGTGTGGTGGGCTGCACTTTGAAGAGAAAGAGAGACAGCTGACAGAGAGTTCCTTGCTGCATATCTTCAACTGCTTAAACCAACATGTCTCAAGT